AGAGAGAGAGAGAGAGAGAGAGAGAGAGAGAGAGAGAACTTGTCCCCTGGAGCTGGTGAGCCTTCACACTGCCAAGCACACCGGAGGAGTCCGTCCCATGGGGTCGGCCGTCCCAGGGGAGACTGGTTGCTCAGACCCAGCCTAGTCTTTGGTCTGTGTCTGGCATCCAGCATCCTCTCATCCTGTCCCCATGACAGCCCTGTGAACTACTACACTTCCTGTTCCTGCTTCGACAGGGACGTGTCCACGTGCTGGTCCCAGCTTGGGGAGAGGTGGCCGATCAGGGCAGACCTGGGGGCAGGGTCCAGTTGCACCCTCTGCCCCCATGCTCTTCCCAGGAGTCAGGGTCTGTAGTCTCAGGGCATGCCCTCCTGCTGGGCCACCAGCTGGTCACTGCCCCTTCCACCGGCCTTAGGTATACACCGGGCGCTGTTGGTAGCTAAGTAGACTCGTTAGCATTTATAACGAGCCTGTCTTCATGCTCAGCTCCGCACCCCTCCCTTCCTCGTTTCGGGATTTGAGACGTGTTTAGTGAACACCTATCAGGGCTCGGAAGACCCTGCGTGGTGCAAACAGTTAAGGTGCTCAGCAGCCAACCGAGAGATTGGAGGTTCAAGTCCTCCCCGAGGTGGCTCAGGAGACAGCCCTCTGAAACTGCCCAGAGCAAGTCTGACCTGACGGTGGTGGTGGTTAGGTGCCCTCGACATGACTCGGACTCACAGGGACCCGTGCCCTACAGAGAAAAGCCCTGCAGGGTCCTCCGCATCCTCACCATTGCTCCTAAGCTTGAGGCCCTGGTCACAGCCCCTGCCTCTGCCTCTCCACGTGGTGCCTTCTAGCCGGAGGGGCTCATCGGCTGGCACTGTCTCTGACAGTGTTCTGGGCTATTCTGTCCGTATCCTATTCCTTCTTCATCGTCCGCTCTTAGCCTGGACACTCCGTGGAAACCTGTTCACCAGGGGTGACCCTGCTAGTATTCCCAATACTGGTGCCATAGTTTCCTCCAGCATCCGAGTCCCGCACATCCAGCCCCCACGATACAACACACCGACAGGCAGCACTCAGGCCAGTTCTTTGATGGGTACCCACTAGATGGAAGGGCCTTGAAGGCCAGCAGTCCTTTACAGGCTCTCTGGGCAGGTGCTTTGCTGTAGCATCGTGGGTGACACCTTGGGCTGCTAGCCCTGAGGTCAGCCATTTGAAACCACCAGCCGCTCCGTAGATGAGAGAAAGATGAGGCTTTGGACGTCGGTAAAGAGTTACGGTCTCGGAAACCCACAGGAGCTGTTCTACACTGCCCTCTGAGTTGGAATCACCTCAGTGGCAGTGAGAGAGGGAGGGAGGGAGGGAGGGAGCACTGTTCTCAGGGGTAGGCAGACAAAGGTTTGAGTGAACAGAATCTGACTACCTCCCCTGCTCAACATAAAGGAGTGGGAGGGTGTCTGTTTCCAATGCCTCAGAGAGGGCTCCTCTGAAAAGGAGACATTTAAGCTGAGCGTTGGGTAAGGACAAGGTGCCAGCCATGTGAGGATCTAGAGGGAGAGCATTCCAGGCAGCGGGAGCCACAGATAGGAAGGCTCCGTTATCCCGTCAGAAAATAAAGGAGCGACTTCTCTACGCTCCTCCTGTGCACAATGGGGACTCAGCGGGGATGCCCACAGCCCTCGCCCTGACCTGCCTTGCACTCTGAGGCCGGCAGGACAGGAAGTCGTGAACCAGGCAATGGCCACCTGATCAAAGGCTCCAGGATATGCAGACGACCCCAAAGAAGTGGGGTCTCCCAGGGTGGGGCGCCCCACGCCTTCCTCTCCTCCAGGGGCTCCACAAAGTAAGTCCTCTGGGCATGTCTGCTACCTAAGAGAATGTTCTCTGGGTTCTTGCCTCCCCGCTCCAGCCACCCTGGGTGCCCTGGAGTTCAGCCTGCTCTACGACCAGGACAACAGCTCTCTGCAGTGCACCATCATCAAGGCCAAGGTGGGTGAGGGCCCAGCGGGGACCTCTCAGGCCGCCAGGCCTTTCCCATGATGCCTTGTCTGGGTCCAGTCTGTGACGGCGACGTGAGGAGAACTGGGGACAGACTTCCTCCGGGGGCCACGCCAGGGGCTCTTGCTTAACAGTGGCCACCTCCAGAGAGCCCAAGTAGCCAGGGTCCCAGGGCAGAACCAGGACACACCCGTCCATAACATCTCCTGCGGAAACTGGGAAGGGTTAAGACAGCCTGGATGAAGCTGACAAGGAAGTTCCCATCGCGTGCACACACTCACACACACGCGTGCATGCAGGCATGCTCACATCCTGAGAGCCCGCCTGGCTCCTGCTGCTGCTGCAGCCATCAGCCTGCATGTAGGCTCTTGAAGGGGTGGAGAGACACCCATGGGGGCAAATGCCTCTCCTTGTGGGGGCTTCAGTAACCAACCAGGACTCCCGGCCCTGGGCTGGCCCACATCAAAGAACAAGCAAGAGCTCAGGAACCATAGGCCTGGGTTAAAGCCCGTTTCACTCCACTGTGTGACGAGGGTGGAGTGACTCCACCCCTCTGTGCCTCTGGGTGCTCAGCCTCTCCCCCCCCCACTTACTCTTCTGAGACCCCGACCCCTCCTAGCAATATCAACCAAACTTTGATGGAGCGCTTACCCCATGCCTAAGACCCTGCAGAGGTCTTGCAGCTCGATCTCACCCAGCACCCCCTCATGAAGAGGGTCCTGTCCGCATCCCCATTTGATGGGTGGGCCAACTGAGGTTCAGAGAGGTTAAGAAAATTGCCTGGAGTCACACAGCTAGGAGGCAACAGGCCAGACTTTGAACCCGGACTGCCTGGTCCCAAGGCCGCTTCCAGGATGCGTTTCGTCCTCTTTGCTTGGGATAGGCCAGGACAGGCAGGACGAGTGCTGGCCGTGCCTGACCCTTATCTCCACTGCCTCCTCCTCTGCAGGGCCTGAAGCCCATGGACTCCAACGGCTTGGCGGATCCCTACGTGAAACTGCATCTCCTGCCAGGAGCCAGCAAGGTACCTACCATCTGGTCTGAGCCTCTCGCCAGGTGGCGCACGTGGGCCCATCAGGGGACCCAGGACCTCACTGGCAGCCTCAAAGAGCTCCATGAACGCTTAGAGCAGTGGTTCTCAACCTTCCCAATGCTGCCGCCCTTTAAGACGGTTCCTCGCGTGGTGGTGACCCCCCAACCATACAATTATTTTAATTGCTACTTCATCACTGTCATGTTGCTACTGCGATGAATTGGGCGACCCCTGTGAAAGGGTTGTTCAACCCCCAAAGGGGTCTCTACCCACAGGTTGAGAACTGCTGCCTTCGCGCCTCCCTGAGTGTGGCTAAGTAAGCCCTGGTGAGGGAGACGAGGTGGGCCAGGGAACACTTTTCCTCTAGAGACCAGGGATCAGTCCACTTTCTCAGCCCGAAACTGGGCATGCACAAGAGAAGCTGGTGCTTTGAGAGGCCCCTCACCTGCTCAAACACCTGCACTGGCTCCCCAGAGCTGAGGACCTTCCATTCCTCTGAGAAAGTGTGCCCGGTGGCCCCCAGCCCTCTCCCGTCCAGCAGCCCTGCTGGTCCTTCCTCTACGTCGGGGAGGGAGCACGGGGCTCAGCTCCCTCTCAGTGGGTTGACCCACTACCCCGAGCTCATGACCGGTAACAGAAGTGCGCCCATTTCTCTGGTTCTCTGGGTGAATGTTTTGTCTCCGTTGTGTGAATTCGATATGTGGGTGTTGTTGAATGCCATCCAATCAGTTCTGTCTCACAGAGACCCCCGTGTTCAACAAGGAAGCACTGCCCACTGCCGCACCAGCCTCACAATTGTTAGCACGCTTGAGCCCATTTTTGCAGCCACCGTGTCTGTCCATCTCATTGATGGTCTTCTTGGTCACTGCGCAGACCACTTTACCAAGCAGGATGTCCCTCTCCAGGGACTGGTCTCTCCTGGTCACATGTGTAAAGTACATGAAACGAAGTCTCACCATTGTCTCCTCAATGGAACGTTCTAGCTGTGCTTTCCAAAAACAACTTCTGTTGGTTCTTCTGAGAATCCATGGAATATCCAAAATTCCTCCCCAGCACCGTAATTCAAATGCATGGATTCTGCTCCGGTTTTCCTGCTACTGTCCAGCTTCCATGCGTATGCGAGGGGATGCAAAAGTCCAAGGCTTGGGTCGCGTGCACCTTTGGGCTCCATGTGACAGCTTTGCTTTTGAACACTTTCAACAGGCCATTGGCAGCAGATTTCCCCAGTGCAATGCATCTTTGATTTCTGGACTATTGTTCTCGTGAACATTGATTTGGATCCAAGGGAAATGAAATCGTTGACAACTTCACTCTTTTCTCTGTTGATCCTGACGTTATTTGTAGGTCCAGTTGGGAGGATTTTGTGCTTCCTTTACACTGAGGTGGAATCCATCCTGTGGAATCCATGCTGAAGGCTCTTGTCTTTGATCTTAATCAGCAAGTGGCTCACTTGAGGCTGTGTCCTCTGTGTATCGCAGGCGGATACTCTGCCTTCTTCCAATCCTGACTGCACATTCTTCTTCATGGGAGCCAGGCTCTCGGATTATTTGCTCTGCATCCAGATTGAATGAAATGGTAAAAGGATACAACCCTGCCACACACCTTTCCTGCTCTGAAACCAGGCGGCATTCCCTTGCTCTCTTTGTAGGACTGCCTCCTGGTCCATACACAGGTTCTGCATGGGTGTGACGAAGCGTTCTGGAATTCCCATTCTTCCCAACGTTATCCGTAGTTTGTTATGATCCACCCAGTTGGATACCTTTGCGTAGTCAGTCAAACACAACCATAACTCCTTTCTGACGTCTGCTGTCAGCCAAGATCCATCTGATGACGTCATCAGTGATGTCCCTTGTTCCACACCCTCTTCTGAATCTGGCTTGAATTTCTGGCAGCTCCCCATCGATGTCCCTCCGCACCTGCTTTTGTTGTGTTTGGAATCTTCAGCAAAGACTTAATGACATCCAATATGAATGATCCGGTTCAATAACTACACATTCCGTGAGGGCTCCGTTTGCAGTGGGCCCAAAGACAGTTGGTTGGCCAAGTCGCTGTCTTCCCAACGGCTCGGGGTGGAAGAGAGCGGGCCTCTAGCGCTGCAGGGCTTTGGTGGAACATTCCAGCGAGTCGTCTGTCAATTCCCAGAGCCTTGCTTTTCACGAATGCCTTCAGTGCAGCTTGGACTTCTTCCTTCAGTACTATTGGTTCTTGATCAGAGGTTACCTGTTGAGATGGTTGGGCATTGATTGATTCTTTTTGGCACTGGGACTCTGTCTTCCTTCCCTCGTCTTTTTGATGCTTCTTGGGTCATTCAATATGTCGCCCATACTCACCTACTGCCATCAATTTGATTCCGATGTATAGCAACCCTGATCTAGGGTTTCTGGGGATGGGGCAGGGAGCCTTATCTTAACTTTCTCCCTCTGACCAGCGGATGGGTTTGAACTGCTGACCAAGTCGCTAGCAGTCCACCCCTCAGCCAACAGCACCACCAGGGCTCCACCCCACCCCCACCCCCACCCCCCAGAACAAGCTCATGGCCATTGGGTCGATTCTGACTCATAGTGACCCCATAGGACGGAGGAGAACTTCCCCCTATGAGTTGATGAGACTTTCAAACGTTACAAGAGTAGACAGCCTCATCTTCTGACTCATAGTGACCCCATAGGACGGAGGAGAACGTCCCCCTATGAGTTGATGAGACTTTCAAACGTTACAAGAGTAGACAGCCTCATCTTTCGCCTGGGTTTGAACCTCTGGCCTCGTGGTTAGCAGCTCACCAGGGAACCTGCTCCTCTCCCCAGAGCTCCCTCAGTGGGCCTCCGAATCCTAAGAGATTGAAACTCGAGACTCGGCTATGTCTGCTTCTGTTCTTTCCGCATGAAGAATCCGTAGCATGCTTCTCCCTGGGGGTTTTCAAACTCCGGATCTTCACGTATTTCATTGCCATCCTCGCTGTCTCTTGAGCGGCCCTTTCCACTCCTTCTGTTCAGTTCTTTTGGTCCTTCATCCTTCCCAACAAGGCCTTTTCTTCCTTGCCTGTCCTTTTAATAATCTTTTGGTCTCTACACTCAGTTGGGACAGGTTGTACTTGGACCCTCTGGGGCTCGTTTTCAGCTTCGTAGAAAACGCTGGCGTCTGGTCCCTCCTAGAAGCATCCCCTGGTGGCACAGTGGGATGGGTGTGAGGAGACAAGAGCTGCCTTGCAGGATGAAGATGTAGCAGTTTGCCTCCTGAAAGATTCCACCCAGGAGATCCTGTTAGACACCTCGGCCGCATCCCCTCGAGGGGCTGCTGGCTGGCAGGATTGACGCACGAGCTGCGGGTACCTGTCCAGGCTTGGCTTTCACCTGCTCAGCTCTCAGACTCGAGGCCAGGTAGCTTCAGGCTGATGCCAGGCCACCAGGGCTCTTATGGTCTACAAACAGTTCTTTTCACAAGAAGCTGTCTTGGATTTCTCCTCTTTATGTTCCGTTCCAGGACAGGAACCAGAGAGGGGAGGGGGTGGGGGGAAAGGTCAGAGTTGAACCTTATTCCATTTCTCTGTAGCCTTCACCTGAGAGGTCCCTGTCCCTAGAAGATGCAGTTGGATCACCTGAGCCCCTGGACAGTCCAGGGGAGCCACTCCTGCCTCCTAACTCAGCCCAAAGGCCGGGCTCTCTGCCGGCACCCTGTTGACGCAGGCGTCTGTCTGTCCTTCTTTCTGGGCTGTAGTCCAACAAGCTGCGCACGAAAACCCTGCGGAACACGCGGAACCCCGTCTGGAATGAGACCCTCGTCTATCACGGCATCACTGAGGAGGACATGCAGCGGAAGACCCTCAGGTACCGGGCGGGATGGGGGTGGGTGGGGGGACTTTGAGCCGTGAGAGGACCTTTCCATCTGATTTGTAACTGCTGCAGGATGTGTACAGAATGGATCCATCCATTCAAAAAAAATGTATAGTATTGGTATAAAGTATTAGGAATATACAGAAAAGTGCACAATTTAACCAACACCCATGAGCCCAATATTCATTTTTAAAAACCTTTTAAAACTCATCCGATTCTGCTTGATCTGCTTCAGTTACAATCAAGCCCTGTCGATACAAGTTGTAACTTCTCAGCCCTTGGCCCTTTCCTTCCCTCGCCAAGACTGAATTCTATGATTTTAGACTCCACCTCCGTAATTATGAATCTCAAAAAACAAAACAAAACAAGGATGAGATGCTTGTTTGTCCTGGGGTCCCATTGGACATCCATGTGTACCAGTTTCTGCAGCCAGTTCCCCAAGAGACTCAGATCCATTTCCACCTTTCTCTGCAGACGAGCGGATTGCAGCACATTGCTTCCACACTTCCTGCGCTCGTGTGCCTATTTCCTCCGGACGGAAATCAAAGAGTCGTTCTGGGTCAAAGGCTGTGTGCGTTGGTCTGCTGTGTGGTCCGTTTCTACGAGCCACGCACGCCGCTGTTCAGATGGACCGTACCAAGCGTGTCCTCCACATCAGCGACCATATTGTTTTAAGTTAAAAAAAAAATGGTTTCAGTGTGTGTCACCCACGTGGAAAAGTTCACCTAACCTAAAATGGTCCATCCTCCACACAGTGGGATTCTATATAGCAACATACAGGAGGGAGTACTGTCTCTCCACTGGTCACTCCACGAAATAATAGTACGTTCACTATGGCCCTTCACTTGAGCAGTGTTTTCTCCACCCTTTGATTTTCAGTCTCTTTTTGTCTTTGTGTCTAAGGTGTGTCTCTTGTACACGGCATATGGGTAGTTCCTGTTTTCTTATCCATTCTGCTCCTGCCTGTCTCTCGACGGATACATATAATCCGTTCAGCGGAGTGGATTATACCTGTCGATTACTTCGGTGTCCTTATTGATCAGTATAAATGTATTGCTATCATTTTGAGTGGGTGTGAGCGTGTGTTGGGGGCAGGGACTGCCGGTTTCTTTATTCAACATCATTTTCTGCTCGTAGACCTTTCTTTCCTTCTTCACTGCTGTTGTTTTAAGGTTTACTAAATCTTAACGACTCTCCTCTTTTTTACTTGGGTGAGGTTTATTCAGTTGTTTGCTTGTTTGCTTGAGATTACCCTGTAATGTATTCCTTCCCCACTGGAAAACAGTGTATTCTGTTTTGAAATCTCTTTGGCTTCCTCTCCATTTGAAACCTCTGTAGTGACACTATTCCCTCTATGTACTTGGTAATAGTCTTCATTACATATCGATAACTCTGGCTCCCTATTTTCAGTCTTGTAGGTTTGTTTTAGCTTGGGCACTTGTATATGTGGGTAGACTTCAGGGCGGGGGTGTCATGTATGTTCATCACGGGTTGTTGGCTCTCTGTCCAAGGGACTCCCCTGGGTCTTTCTTGTACGTTTTGTCTGGTTTGTACAAATTCCTTTAGCTTCTGTTGATCTGGAGGTAGCCTAATTCCACCAACATAGTTGAGGGGAAACTTGGTGGGCTATGTGACTCTTGATTGGCTCTCCCACCTCAACCCCACCCCTCAGTTTTATATATGTCATCCCATTGCCCTCCTCCCTGCGCAACATCTGCTGAGAAATCGGAACCCAGCCCCATTGGTTCCCCTTCGTAGCTAGCGTGTTGCTTTTCTGAGCTGCCCTCGGGACTCTTCCCTTGTCTTTGGGTTTGGGAAGTTTGATTATGATAAGTCTTGCTGATTTCCTTTTGCAACCCACCCTGTTTGGGTTCATCCATCTCCTGAACACCTAGCTTTTCATCGTTCGTGATCTTAGAGTTTTCTTCCAACAACTCTTCAGAAATGTTCTCTGTGCTTTGGCTGTTTCTCCCTGTTCTGGAATCCCAGTCACACTTAAGTGATTCCTTTGGATGGTGCCCCACATAATCTCTAGGCTTTCATTAGGTTTAAAAAAAAATTGTATTGCTGTTGTTTCATTTCTGATCGTTCCACCAGCAGATTAATAGTGAGAGATTTGTCTTCGTTCCTTCAACTCTGCCTGTGCTCTCTCGGTGCATTGTCCATTTCTGAAATCTTAGCATTAATATTCTGATTTCTCCTTGCTGCCTTTGTATGATTTGTGCTTTTTTTGTTTGTCAGTTTGTTCTTATACGGTTTCCTTGAATTCGTCTAAAGCCTGTGTGTGTGTGTGTGTGTGTGTGTGTGTCTGTCTGTCTGGGTCTTTCTTGCTCTCATCTGCAGCTTACTTGCTCTTTCTCCCAATTCCTTGAAGGAGTTCACAAACCATTCTTTTGAGTTCCAATGTCTTTTCTCCCTAAGAAAGGTCTCCTGCCTCTGCTTTTGGGTAATTTGTTCGAGCCACTCTGTCTTGTTGTTTTGTGTGAATGTAGATTGGTGTCTCCTCGACATCACGATGTTGTGTTTGTATTTAATTGACCATTGCATGTTGGTGAGACCTTAGCCACTCACCAGCCTGTCACTTGGAGGGTGTAATGCAGAGGATGAGTGTGTGCACAGTTCTGTTTTATGTCCATAAGCACGGTTGAGGGCAGGTTTGGCTCATGTTTGGGGCGATTTTTGAATATTCAGGTGGTACAGGAGTGGATAGGGACCTTTCCCGGTAGGTGTGGTATAGGAGGTACTGTGTGGCTGGGCTCAATGCATGGTTGCTTTCGCCTGCCTGGGACTAGAGGGGGCAGAGAGAGGGAGGGAGGGAGGGAAGGAGGAAGGCGGGGTGGGCAGAAGAGAAAGCAATTAAAAATAAAAATACAAGCAAAAGAAAGCAGGCAAACAACAGTCAGAAAAAAATAATTTAATCAAAAATAGAAAATAAAGGGGGGGAAACCAAGATAAGCAAAAGGAAAGAGAAAGAAAGAAATACAGTAAGTGAAACAAGGGCAGAGAAAGAAAAGAAAGAATCCAGAAAGGAATGAGTAAGAGAGGGGAAAGAGGAGAAGGTATAAACAGAAAAGAAACAGAATAAAGGAAAGGAAAAAGGAAACGGAGAAAGGATCCACAACACAATGGAAGAAAAAGAAATGAAAAAAAAAAAAGACAAGCAGAAAATTGGGGCAGGAACAGGACCCA